CTACCTCATGTAATTCCATCTGTACCACTTTACATACTCATATTTTGCACATGCATAGTTGCACACTCACTGCTGAGTATTTGCACTCCACAGCTTCCATGTAACATATATTCTCAATGCATTATATTGTGTTCTTGTTGTATTTTTATTTGCTCCCTTCACTTGCTGCTTTAAAGTGCCTTAGATTTGTGATTTTACTGCCTATTTAGATTTGTGTTATTGCTCATCTACTTTATATTTCACATGTTTTATGTGGCATTCACGTGGACGGCAAAGTATAAAATTTCATTGTACAGGGAAACACGTTTCCGAACTGTTCATATGACAAATAAACACTGACTTTTGACCTTTGTATAATCTGTACAAAGTATATTTACAGGCATTGCACTGAGGGTTATTATCCAGACATACTGTCATAGTGTCGTGGGTCAAGTGTTCATCAGAGTGATGGCCCAAGAATTTCATTGTGCAGGGAAACATGTTTCCTAACTATGCCTATGACAAATAAACACTTTGACCTTTGACCTAAAGACTTTCTCTAACTGACTCTTTGATTTGACATGTTTTCATCATGGTATCTTACATTGTCAAAGATGCTTCATTAGTAGTAATGAAATGCTTTTTAAATTTATAACACCCAGTGTTTATCACATCACCAAAATTAGTCGAGCTTATCCTCACCTTTAGGCCTATCAGTGGTCAGGCAGAGAGGGGTGCCGTGGTGCAGCGGCAGCGGTGGCTGCTGGGCGCCTGGCTTTTCTGATGTTGTTTGCCCTGACTATGCCAGTCTGGTCAAGAAGGGCGAGGTTATTGCTCCCCTACGGCGGGGAAACCTAGGTCAGTCGTCCCTTAAACTCTGGTGAATGGCTTGTAGTGGGCGACTGGAGCCCGCAGGCCCCCAGGCTGTTCTGCTGCCCCGGAGAAGAAGGGCCAAATGGCAGGAAAACTGGGCCAGACTGGGGGAGGCTTACTCAGCTGCTCCGATTTATAGTAATCCCCAATCATGTCTGTGGGGGCAGGGGGTGGGCTAGCCGCGGGAAGAGAGATTCCCTTACGGCCTGCTGCCTTTGTGATAATCCCCGGCAAGTTACCAAGTGCCGGAGCCTGGCCAGCGGCAGGAGCATGCTGTTCAGCCGGGGGAAGCTCGTCTTGTTGCCGGTGTCCATATTGGCCAATAGGTCGATGGGAGAACCGGGGGAGCCGGCGATAGAGGGCAATGAGTCAACAGACCCGGGCCCACTGTAGCCCAGGTAATGCCGTCATCTGGGTCTTGCTCTTTAATGGCAGCGAAAACATCTACCTCCACTGTTTCTCCGCTACAGGCAGGCAGGCACAGAAGGGACAAGCAGCCTGGGAAGAAAGGGCCAGTTCGGCATGCTCAGCGCCGAGGAAGGCGTCGCAGCAGGGATGTGGGTCGCTGGGCATAAGCCAGTGTCACAACCGGGACGTACAATGACAGCGGGGCGGCGCTGGGTTCCAGTGGTGAAGGAAGTCTGCTCTTTAGCCATAGGAACGTTTTAGAATGCTCTTTAAAACTGTTGAAGAAAAAGAGGGAGGCAAGCTCAGGTCACAGTGGCTTCTATACTACTACTGTGGACCTGATTGAAGACAGCCTAGTGCAGGGCACAGGGTATGAAAGAATCTCTTCAGGACTGCGCATGTGCGAGGGATAAACCCAATAGCGACAGTTCTTAGAGGGCGAAGCCTATAAGAAATAGAACACACTGTCTTCTAACCTTGAAGCAAAGCAGACTAGAGCAGACTTTGAATCTTACTAAACTGCATTACTAATACATTTAATTCAACACATTAATGTCTAATAATTATCTGACTGATTTATTAATTTCAATCAGTCTTTTGAGAATATGTAAATGTTGGGAGTTATTAAACAGGGTACACTACATGTCTCCCTCGACCCAAAAACGTGATAATGTGTGATGAAGGTCTAGTTGGACTTCTTCTGTAGTCATTCATTATCATAAATAATAACGTCTAGGCTGCACATAATAGACCTCTGTCATCACCGGTGAAATGGAAGTTAATAAACATATCATAATAACAGCCCATCATAAATTCCCATGCGAATTCATTTAGGATATGAGAGTAGTAGGTTTAGCTTACTGTATGCGCATGCGCACGTAAATAATATTCATAAACCCAGTCATCCATCCATTATCTTAATACCGCCTTTTCCTGAACCGAGAACAAGTTTTTTCACGTTTGCAAAAAACGTAACACGATATTCTGAACCCTTTATCCTTTTTGTGTTGGTTTTCCAGATTAAATAGGCATAAAATATTTGAATGATGGGCTGTTGGACCAGTGTCACATCACGAGGGGAAAACAGCACCGTCTCGCGGTCCTGCTCGCGTTCTACCGTTTGTTCGTCCGCCTCTAGTTTTCTCCGCCCTCTCCTTTGTAAATGAGCCGAGCAGCAGCCTGATAATGAGGTTACGTTATTGCAGGCAGTCAATACAGATGAACTATTGCAACATGGTGGAGCTGTGCAGTGAGTAGCTGCGGTTCTGTTCTTCAATTGTGCTATGTTTGGTCAGGTCTTTGTATACAATGAGGGAATCGTTTGCTTTACACCACATGAAGAAAACTAAGGAAAAGAGTCGCGAGTGAAGAATTCGAGATGATCCGCCAGGCAACAGGTGAGGGTCAAGTGTAACTGTACGCTGCCAGCCGCTTTATCCACAGTGACTAATATGGTGGTAAAATATGCATTTCACTAATGAAGTTAGAATAAGTGTACAGTTTCGTGGTGTATTTGTCTTCGTCATTGTGCAGCCTGCTGCTTGTCATGAGACAGCTTTTTGAAAGTCTGTAAGGAATTTGCTAGACCGGTTCCTTCACAGGTCTTGTAACAAGGCCAGTTGGAAATTCTTGTCGGGCGTGTTTTCAATCAAAATAACCATTCCCCATAAACCTTTCAGACGTCCAGGAGTCAGTGCTGCAGGGTGTCTTCTCTCCGCCTCTGCCTGCTGATCATGTGCTCAACTCTGGAGCTGTGTTGTTCCCTGGTAGCTAAAAACCCACACAACTCTGACTGTTTATATAGCTGGGTTTTGTATGGAAAGTACTGTAATGTGGTTTATATTGCATTCAGTGGCAAGCTGAGACACTGTGGTATGTGAATTCAGATCTACAGAGATATTTAAATTTATTGTTATTGTATTGAAGAGACATGATGAACAAAACAATGTGACAATTTTTGCCCTTGCCTGTATTAAATGCCAATATTTGTTAGACAAAAATACCATTAACTTAGTATTTGTACCGGAGAATAATCTGCTAAATCTGTGATGTCTTTCTTCATTTATTTTTGCTATGCACCCTAGGAATTTGAGACCATTTTTTTGTTATCTGCCTGTGCAGGAGCTTTTGATCAACATGGCTGCCATTTGATTGTGTTTCCAGTCGATGGACAAGCCAAACTCTCATCAGCACTCAGCAAAGCAGAAGTGGTACACTTCATAAACTACTTTCTGTGTCTGTACAAGTACGTGGAGTCCGACATAAAGGCTGAATGCATGTGGGAGTGGGACTACAGGATGCATTGATTGTTGGGTTGTCTTCTCTCAACAGCAAGATGCAGGAAAAAGAGAGTTTGGTGTCAGTGGTGGCTGATCTGACACATGCTTCTCTTCCTACGACAAGGTTCATCGCTGAGACTCTGCTCCTGCTTGAGGTATTGTCGTGGAGTGCGTTGCGTAATGCTGCTGCGGATGCTGACCTGCAGTATGTTGCTAGTGGTTCTTCTGGACTAGATCACCCAGAAAGCAACACCTAGATTGCCACAGTAATAGATTTAAAATGGATGACCCTTTAATGTAGATCAGGGTGCCCACACTTTTTCACCTTGCAAGCTACTTTTCAAATGACCAAGTCAAAATGATCTACCTACACAACAATACTAAACGTGTGTGTGTGTGTGTGTGTGTATCCCCCACTCACCCAACTTCGGGGCGGTTTTATTCTATCCTTCAAACTTGGGTCCTACCAGAGGCCTGGGAGCTTGAGGGCAGCTACATCATCTACTATGTTGAACTAAGATGAACTTGCAGCGATGGCAGCCTTGATTACTTGCACTCTCTTGTGTGTTGTTTTTCCTTTTTTCTTTCTTGGCCTTTTGCAACTCATCCCAGATTACTTTTACCAGAGAAGAACTGTTAAATATCGGACAACTCTCACCGAACTACTTTTCTCCAATTTTTGTGAACAAAGAATGCTGTATGGACATTCTGATTGGAGGCGCAGTGGCAATATAAAGGATCTGGAAAAAAAACGCCGCCATGGAGAGTATGCAGGCATCTTGGTCAGGCTACGACAGAGGGGAACACGGACTCCACTCCCGTCCCCATTCCCCACTTGCCCCCCACTTTGGGGCGGTCTTGTATTCCTTCCTTCAAGCTCTGGTCCTCTACCAGAGGCCTGGGAGCTTGAGGGTCCTGTGCAGTATCTTAGCTGTTCCTAGGACTGCACTCTTCTGGACAGAGATCTCAGATGTGGTTCCTGGGATCTGTTGGAGCCACTCTCCCAGTTTGGGGGTCACAGCCCTCAATGTTCCTATTACCACAGGGACCACTTGTGCCTTCACCTTCCACATGTTTTCGAGCTCTTCTTTCAGCCCTTGGTATTTCTCGAGCTTCTCATGTTCCTTCTTCCTGATGTTGCTATCGCTTGGGATTGCTACATCTATCACTATGGTCTACTTCCTGTTTGTCCACCACTACTATGTCCAGTTGGTTGGCCATTACCAGTTTGTCAGTTTGTATCTGGAAGTCCCACAGGATCTTAGCTTGGTCATTCTCAACCACCTTTGGAGGTGTATCCCATTTTGACTTGGGACTTCCAGCCTGTACTCGGCACAGATGTTTCTGTACACTATGCCAGCCACTTGCACCCTGCTGTTATGTGCTGGATTGTCTCAGGGGCATCTTTGCACAGCCTGCACCTGCGGTCCTGTCTGGTATGGTAGACCCTGGCCTTTATTGATTTTGTACTTGGAGCTTATTCCTGTGTTGCCAGGATTAGTGCCTCTGTGCTGTCTTTCAGTCCAGCTTTGTCCAGCCACTGGTAGGATTTTTCAGTATGCGCCACTTCAACTATTTGATGGTGGTACATACCGTACAGAGGCTTGTCCTTCCATGAGGGTTCCTGCTCTTCCTTCCCTTGTTCCTCTGGTTTCTGCTGCCTGAGATATTCACTAAGCACATCATCACTTGGGGCCATCTTCCTGATGTATTCATGGATCTTTGTTGTTTCATCCTGGATAGTGGCTCTGACGCTCACTAATCCTTGTCCTTCCTTTCGCTTAGTGTAGAGTCTCAGGATGCTGGACTTGGGGTGAAACCCGCTGTGCATTGTAAGGAGCTTCCTTGTCTTGATGTCAGTGGCCTCTATCTCCTCCTTCAGCCAGCTTATTATG